CTGGATGGCCTTTGCTATGTTATAAGAAACCTCTGACTCTGCACCAGAACTTAGGTCCTAGAACTTTAAAACTATGTGATCCCAAGAACTAAATTGTTGTTAGCTGCCATAGAGTCAACCCCCAACTCATGGCGACCCCATGCACAATGGAACAAAACGCTGCTAGGTTCTGTGCTATTCCCATGATCAGCTGTGGATCAGATTGCTGTGATCTGTAGGGTTTTCACTGGCTGGTTTTTGGAAGCAGATCACCAGGCCTTCCTTGCTAGTCCATCTTAGTCTGCAAGCAACATGGAAACCTTGTCAGCAACATAAACAAACAAAATATAAACCTGTTGCCATCAAGTCGATTCTGACTCATGGCAACTCCGTGTGTTACAGAGTAGTACTTGCTCCATGAGGTTATTCTGGCTGTAATCTTTATGGAACAGACTGCCAAGCCTTTCTTCCATGGTGCTGCTGGGTGGGTTCAAATCGCCAACCTTTCAGTCAAGTGTAAACTGATCACAGCAAGACACAAACCTCCACTGACGGACAGGTGCATTGGCTGGGAACTGAACCAGGTCTCTCGTATCAAAGGCAAGAGTTCTACCACTGAACCACCATTACTTAATGCCTATAGGTCTGGGTCCCCATCCCTGTTCAGGTAAAAGGAGGGGTAATGAATCTCCCCTCTCCTACCCTCATCCTACCGGGAGTGCTTTAAGAATAAACTGGCATCCTATCTGTGAAATATGTCAGCTATTACACACAACCCTAGTAATTAATCAGGATGTATCAACTTTTTGTGTTAGTTTTTAAATTATATTCTAGGTACATAAAAACACAATATTGTTATACTTTTAGGAAAGTGACTGCCTTCAAACTTATTTTAATCTGAAAAAGTGAGAAAAATGTAAAACTTGTACTCCATGTGGTTTTTTTAAAGAAAATTACTTGTGACAATTAGGTGCAAGGCTGGTTCTTAAATCCACTGCTGGGGACTGAGAGGCAATCAGGACTCAAATGTGGGCTCAGTGTAGTGAGAGAATCACTTGTGGCCAATGAACAGCCACCAGTGAATACTGATTTATAAATTTTGTCAACCTGGAATTGTCTCTAAGTTGCATTAAGACTTTGTCCTTAGCCCTATCTTTTCAAGATTTTAAAACAACAATATGTGTGAAAAACAAAGCAGGCAATCCTCTCTGAAAGAAGGAATCCTTTCAATAGTAGTCCTAGTGGGCAATAGTCTAGTCTATTACCAGACACTTCAAGAGCTGGGCCCCCCCATGTTGTAAGGAAGCTGATTTTATTTCTGGTTATTTCAGTCAGAGAGCTTGTCCTTTATTAAATAGAAATCTTAATACTTTGGAGCTACACAAAACTTCATTCCTTCCAAGTGAAAAACAAGTATTTAAAGATTCACCATCATGTCCATTTATTCCAACACTATTCCAAACCCAATTTCAACCTCTTCTAAACTCTTTCAAAATGCCCTGGTTTATTCATGTTTATTTTAAAGTGTGGTACCCAGTGTAGTGAGGGGATGACCTGCTGGCCAATCAATAGCCCCAAGTGGATATCGATTAATATTTGGTCTCATACACAAGTGAGGAATAATGGAATATGATACAATAGTGTAAACAGCATTAGAAGTCTAGTTGGTTGGCAATTCTCTTGAGAATCTCCTTCGTCTTTTCAGAAAATTAACTGTGGGTCACCTTTGGCTGCCATCATGACAAAACATACATTCAGCCAATAAATGTGTACACGCCACAACAATTTGGTTTCACAGCTTGATTTCTAACTGAAGCGATGAACTCCTGGTATTATCTAGAGATAAATTTAAATGTCACTTAACAGGTAACCTAGGCTAGATTATTCCTACATTTTGGCTTGCTAGCCTACTAGTCCACGAGATGGAAAAAAAATTAAGGAGGAAATAGGCAAGAAGATATGTTATACATAAATCATTCTACAGGATGGATACGTAACTTCTTAGGCTGTATCATGCTCTTACTTCAATCTACTTGAGGTAGAGACAGAGGAAGTAAACACAAAATGTCTAAACTTTCCAACTTTAAGTATATTTATATTCAAAAGACAATGTACTGACCATGTGCATACTTAGACTCAATCCCCTACTTCTTTCCTCTCCACTCCACTACACCTATCTTATTCATCTTGTCTCATCAGATTTAAGGCTTAGGCACTTAAGTTCCTCCTCCCTCCCCATGCCTCCTTCAAGGTAATATGTACTTAAAAAAAAAAAAAAATACTGATCTTTCAGGGACAATGGTTCCCAATTCTGTTGAATAATCTGAAGAGAAGATGCTGATTGTGAGTTTTAGGGAAAATGGTCAGGGCAGCACAAGAATAATTATCTGGAAGAGGCTAGGGAGGAAGGACACTCAAACAGACCTTACAGGACACCACAGAGGGGACCAGAGATGCTGTGTATCAGAGGGGTAAGCAGTGACAGAAGAGAGCATGTTGTGACTCCAGGCCACATTGTTTCCAGTACCTCACAAACACGGTGTGTGCATGTGTGGGGAGGGGGTGGCGGGGTACAACACAAGCAAATTAGATTGGCTTTAACTACAGAAAGGGGGAAACTCTGGTGGTGCAGTGGTTAAGAGCTACGGCTGCTAACCAAAAGGTTGGCAGTTCGAATCCAAGGTGCTCCTTGGAAACTCTGTGGGGCAGTTATACTCTGTCCTGTAGGGTCACTATGAGTCAGAATCGACTCGACGGCAATGGGTTATAGAAAAGGTAACAATCCTATGGAACCAGTTAAAAACCCCGGATATACGGTGGCAATTTCCAGAAATAACAGGTCTCACTGTTGGGAAGGTGTATCTTCATTTAGAAGCGTTTAGCCTCATAGAGCAACTGCGAAAAGAACATTTACTGGAAAGCAGTGGTTTTCTCAGTTTGAGCACCTGTCTCAGTGCCCATAGTAAAGGTTAACAATATTATTATGTGCCGGACTTTCTGCTAAGTACTGTGTATGAATGATCTCATTTAAACCTCCCAATAATCAGAGGATGGGAGAATTGATACCGTTAACATTCCCATTTTATATAGAAGAAAACTGAAGCTCAAGAAAAGTTAAGTAACTTGTACAAGGTCATACAACTAGGAAGTGGTAGAGCCTAGATTAGAACCCCGGCAGTCCGAATGCAGAGCGCAGGTCCTCAGCCGCCACACCGTTCTGCCCCCTTGATAGACAGAAAAATGCCTGTTCCCAAATCTTTAGTCTTTACTTTTATCATTTTGTCTTTCACTTTAGAATAAAGCTAATCAGTATAGAAAAGACACCAAGATTATCTGCTGGTGGATGAGCTCAAATGAGTGTTTCAGAAAGTAATCTACTAAAGACACAAACGAGAACTAAAGAAGTTCAGCCACCACAGACTCGAAGCCTTAATTTCCTTATTTAAGAAATGGGGAAAATCAGTTCTATCTCACAGCACTGGTGCACAGAGAAAACGAAATAATTAAATGCACACAAAAGCATTCAGTAATCTGTGAAAATCACTGTACTCTATTAGGCAGGTATCACTGTTGTTAAATACAAAAAGTATAGATTTGGGAAATCAAACAGGCAGAACGTATTTTCAACACAATCGGAAAAGACAGCCTATTAACTAATGGAAATTAGATATAATGTGTACAACTAAGAACAAGGGAAAATTATTTCCTAAAGATATTTTTATCCTCCTTTAGGCTAGCTGTGCAGGAAATTCACTCGGAATTTAACACATACTTCTGAGACTTCATGTCAGGAGCCAAATGTAGAGAACTGTAGCAAATAGAAACATCACCTTCCCTTCCCCCTAGCCATGTAAGCAGTGGTAGCAAATGACAAGGCAAACACCACCCTCTATGAGGTCTTCCTTGATCTCTCCAGTCGGAATTGATCAAGCCATCCCCTAAATGTTCACAGCACATTTGCTATTCTGATGGCATTTCATTCTGACTGGGATCACAGCTAACAGTTGCTTCCAAGCCAGCCTTCTTATCACCCTAAACACCACGGATGCTCATACTGGTTGGGTCTCAAACGTTTGCTCAATGAAGTTTACATTTCTCAACTCTAAGGCTCCAGCCGTAGTTTCAGTCTGCACTTGGGGTAAACACAGAGACACATCACAAATCTAAAAAAAAATCAGGGTGGAAAAAACCAGCTTGTGCACAGTATCTTCTCCCTTCTTGATCTATGCGGTAAAGAAATGCTCTTTAAGGAATCGAATGGAAAGCACAAATGGAAATGAAAGCGAGGTGAATACATCACAACATTCACAACTCCCGTTTCTAATTCAAAAGTACTTTCTCCACCTTGTTTCACAAACACATTAGGCATCTCTGGCTCCACACTGAGAGGGTATTCTATCTCCTGACCCTCTTGGAATTAAAACACCACACCTCTTATTCTAAACACCATTCAGGGCCAGTACTATTTGCTTTTCACATTTTGAACACACAACCCAGGGTAAAGGCCAGTTTAAAAGGAAAGAATCTTGGAAATGGAAACACTCCCCAATCTGTAGTGTAGGCCCAAGAACCCGAACAGTCTGGCTGTGCAGGGAGCTAAGAACCAGTAAGGCGAGGCTCCCAGGTAACGTGCTTTGGGGGCAGCTTCACTACACAGCATACTGGGTTGCACAGGAGCGAAAAATATTGTTGCGATTCGTTTCGGACCGGACTCCAAACGCCGGCGGCAGCCCGCGTGAGGCCGCTGGCCGTGGCGAAGCAGCCCTCGCCACCCTCCCTCCAAGCCCGGGGCTGCTGTCATCCTCATCCTAAGGCGCGCAGATAAGCCCATTAATCACAGCGCACTCTTGTCGTCCCCTAGAACGCGGCCTCCCATCGCCGGAGAAGAACGCGGGTTACCGTCTTCCCCCATCTCGGCTCCTCACGCCCCTTCCTCGCCCCGCATGAAGACGGCCCTCTACGAAGGCGGGCGACTTCATACCCTACTCCTTTTTGCTGCTGTGCCCCGAATCACCCATTACCTTCCCCAAGCAAATGTGGCACGTGATGGGCAACGTGAGCGACAATGTAACGTTCTGCACGGTCTGAGCCATGGCAGCGTTCAGAATCCCGCCAACACGGAAGTCCCGCCGACCGCAGCTCCTCGCAGCGTTTGGGGCCGCGCGAGGCCAGCTACGGTGGCCCAGCAGGGCCACAGCCCGCCAGGGAGAGGTAACGAAAACGCGCTTTCAAAATGCTCCGTCACCGAGGATTTTTTTTCCTTCCTTTCTTTTTTTTTTTTTTTTTTTTTTTAACTTTCTCCGATTCGGAAGCTGCAAGATTCTTGAAAATGGGAAGGAAGGTGATTTACTACAGGCATTGGGCGTCTTGAAAGTTTAAAGGAAGAGTACCGGTAATAGTGGAGGGAGGAGAGAAGAACACCAACAGCAATTTTAAATCCCAAATCTTTCCCCGGAGAGGCGTGGGGGAGACTTTATCACCTAAAGATTAAGTCCCACACAGTCTGTAAATACACGGAGTAATCAAAACATGAAGAGAAAAGACGTTAGATTTCTCATTTAATTTTTCAAACAACTTTCCACCTTACTCCGACTCCCTTTCCGTTCTTAAATGATGTACTTCAAGAGGGCACGTCAATTTTACTCTTTTTATCTGTTTCCAAAGACTACTGGACACATTTAATGTCAGCTTTGCCTGAAGACAGATTTTCACGTTGGCCCTTCTGTGCTTTCTACGTAAACAAAACTTAAGGGTAGGAGCCACAGACGCTCATATACACCCGTAAATGGGAAAAAGCTGCAAATGGTATGCGCCGTCCAAACTCCCTGAAAGCTCTTGCCCAATGCGTTTTAACAGCTTCTTTTCAGGGTGCATGATTGAATGTGAAATGTACCACAGGGTTGTCCAACCCAGAAGGAACATTTGTGAAGTTATAAATTAGCATTTCCTAGCCAATGAAAGACTTATAAAAGTTCCTAACTGAATCTGAAATATATCAGACTGGGAATTTAACTGCAACTTGCTTTTAAGTGAAGAAGAGCTGATGTAATAAATTTTTGCAAACAAAACAGCCTGAGAGTTGAAAGATTTAGAAACAAAACCTATGGGACTACTTTTACTAATGTTACAGGAAAGAAAGACAGTATAGTGAGCAGAAGCAGCCTCGTGGTTAAGAGCATGGGGTTCTGGAACCACAATGCTGGGGTAGAAATCCCTGCCCCAACAGTCTACTACCTCTGTGGCCTCAGGTAAGTTATTTAATCTCTCTGTGCCTTAGCTTCCAGGAGCCCTGGTGGCACAGAGCTTCACTGCTAACCAAAAGATTGGCTGTTGGAACCCACTGGTATGTGGCAGTCGGCTTTTGTGAGGATTTATAGCCTTGAAATCTCTACGGGCAGTTCTACTCTCTCCTAAAGGGTTGCGATGAGTCTACCTGTACATAGATGAAGAGGCAGTTGTCCAAACAGAACAAGGGGATACTGCTTGGTTTAAAGTAAGGAAAGGTGTGCGTCAGGGTTGTATCCTTTCACCAAACCTATTCAATCTGTATGCTGAGCGAGTAATCTGAGAAGCTGGACTATATTAAGAAGAATCTGGCATCAGGATTGGAGGAAGACTCATTAACAGCCTGCATTATGCAGATAACAGAACTTTGCTCGCTGAAAGTGAAGGGGACTTGAAGCACTTACTGATGAAGATTAAAGACCACAGCCTTCAGTATGGATTACATCTCAACATAAAACAAAAATTCTCACAACTGGACCAGTAAGCAACATCAGGATAAATGGAGAAAAGATTGAAGTTGTCAAGGATTTCATTTTACTTGGATCCACAGTCAACACCCATGGAAGCAGCAGTCGAGAAATCAAAAGACGCATTGCATTGGGCAAATTAGCTGCAAAAGACCTCTTTAAAGTGTTGAAAAGCAAAGATGTCACCTTGAAGACTAAGGTGCGCCTGACCCAAGCCATAGTATTTTCAGTCGCATCATATGCATGCAAAAGCTGAACAATGAATAAGGAAGACTGAAGAAGAATTGATGCCTTTGAAATGTGGTATTGGCAAAGAATATTGAATATACCATGGACTGCCAAAAGAACTAATCTGTCTTAGAAGAAGTACAGCCAGCATGCTCCTTAGAAGCAAGGATTGCGAGACTACATCTTACATACTTTGGACATATTGTCAGGAGGGATCAGGCCCTGGAGAAGGACATCATGCTAGGTAAAGTAGAGGGTCAGTGAAAAATAGGAAGAACCTCAATGAGATAGACTGACACAGTGGCTACAACAATGGGCTCAAGCATAACAATTGTGAGCATGGCGCAGGACCGGGCAGTGTTTCGTTCTGTGGTACGTACAACTCGACAACACCTAACAACAACAGCAACGAGTTGGAATCAACTCGATGGCAATGGCTTGGCCTTAGCTTCCTCACTGGTAAAATGTTTTTTAGTGAGGATTAAATGCGATCAGTGTAGGTTTACTATCATGTCCAGAAAAGGACCATGCAATAATGAGATTGGAGCAGCTATCAGTTTCCAGGAGGCCAAAGTTCAGTTCAAAATTGGCTCACAGGTGACAGCAGGTTTTCTTCCAAACAGTTCAGTGACTTCCTTTCCTAGAAATTGGAGATCATTGTGTGTTTGGAAATGGGGAACTGTGCAAAATAGTTACAATGATTCGCTTTTTAATTGCCACTTTTTCAGAATGCCAGGTATAAAAATCATTGTTTGGCTGTTTTCTGGTTGTTGAAAGGCAAGGTAATATTTATATGGGGTCTAGAATTTACATGTTTCTTTCATGTTCCTGTCTGTAGACGCCCAGGCTTCAGAACGAGGAAGCTACAGGTCATTATCCACTGTCATTCTAGTTTTGTCTTGTCTCTGTTTTGGTTTTCTTCTCTGTTCCCACCTTGCCCTGGTTTATATCTATTGTGGTATTTTATACCCCCGAGTGGGGTATAGGACTGAAAATATTCTGCCACTCACATCCATCTCTGCAAACAGTGCAGCAGGAAGACCTGTTGAAGACTTTTTTTTATTGCTTACTGGGGCAAGTTCATTTCCTGTAAATCATTCTGGTGATTAGTCACAAAGATAAATTTTAAAAATCATAACCTGCATTTTAGTAGAATACAGTGGTTAAGAGCTCGGCTGCTAACCAAAAGGTCAGCAGTTTGAATTTACCAGCTGCTCCTTGGAAACCCTATGGAGTAGTTCTACTCTGTCCTGTAGGGTCACTATGAATTGGAATCGACTCGAAGGCAATGGGTTTAGACTATTTTCAACATCTCTTTACACATTTATTATTACTGTCATTCTTGCAGCTTCTCAGTGATGCTTTAGTGTTTTGTCCACATGGCGATTTCTGCACTGATCATTGGTATTAGAGTTGGCTGTGTATGTATCTGCGCCCACAATAAACTATGTTTTCTTTTAACAGCTTTGAGATATAATTCACATACCATATAATTCACCCATTTAAAGTGTACATTTCAATGATGTTTGGTATATTCACCACAGGTGATTTTAGAACATTTTTATCACCTCCAAAAGAAACCCTGTACCCTTTAGTTGTTGCCCCCCCCCCGCAACACCCTCAGTCCTAAGGAAGCACTAATCTACTTCCTATCTCTATAGATTTGCCTATTCTGAACATTTCATATAAATGGAATCATACAATGTATGTTCTTTTGCTATTGGAGTCTTTCATTTAGCATAATGTTTTTAAGGTTCATCCATGTTGTACTGTATCTGCACTTCATTCCTTCTTATGGCTGTATAATATTGCATTGTATGGATATGCCACATTTTGTTTATCCATTCACCTGGTGGTGGACATTTGAGTTGTTTCTACTTTTTGGCTATCATGAATAGTGTTGCTATAAATGCTAGTGTACAAGTTTTGGTGTGGATGTATGTTTGCATTTCTCTTGGGTTTATACTGGGTCACATGGAAACTCATGTGTAACCGTTTGAGGAACTGCCAGACTGTTTTCCAAAGTAGCTGCACCATTTTACATCCCCACCAGCAGTGTATAGTGTTCTAATTTCTCCACATTTTGACCAACACCAGTCGTTATCTGACTTTTCAGTAAAAGGAGCCCTGGTGGCGCAATGGTTAAGAGCTTGGCTGCTAACCAAAAGGTTGGCAGTTCAAATCCACCAGCCTCTCCTTGGAAACCCTATGGGGCAGTTCTGTTCTGTCATATAGGGTCACTATGAGTCAGAATCCACTGAATGGCAATGGGTTTTTGGGTTTTACGAGTCAGAATTGACCTGAGAGCACTAACAACAAGTCGCTGTGAAGTGGCATCTAACTGAAGTTTTGATTTGCGTTTTCCTGATGACTAATGATGTCAACAGGAGCCTTAGTGGCGCAATGGTTAAGCACTAGGCTGCTAACCAAAAGGTCGGAGGTTTGAACCCACCAGCAACTCTAACCCACCAGTGGCTCCGTAGAAGAAAAGACATGGCAGTCTGCTTCTGTAAAGATTTACAGCCTAGGAAACCCTATGGGTCAATTCTACTCTGTCCTATAAGGTCGCTATGAGTTGGAATCTACTCGATGGCTTACAGCAACAACAATGATGTCGAGCATCTTTTCATATGTTTATTGGCCATTTGCGTATCTTTTTTGAAGAAATGTCTATTCAGATCCTTTGCCCGTTTTTAAAATTGCTTTGCCTTTTTATTATTGAGTAGTTAGAGTCCTTTATGTATTCTAGATGCAAGTTAGGCTATGTTTCTTGAGGTTAGGGATTATATCTAATTTATCTAGTGTCTGGTACTGGGTGACTATTCTGCAAAAAGTAATATTTTGTTTAGTTACAGCCTCACTGTATTACAGACCCAAGCTGTTTTATTTTAAACATTGTCTTTACTTATTTTTCACTTCAATATGGAAGATTGTATTGTTTTTTGAAGATTATAAAAATAAGAGGCTCATCTTAAAAAGTTAAGCCATATAAAGATATATAAATAACAAGTAAAAGTATCTTTATATTTCTGCCTCACCTCCTTTACCCATGAAGTAATCACTTTTCTAGAGCATATCCTTACAAACATTTAAATTCACTTATTACCGTATGCATAAACTACAAATAGAATCATACCATAGCACAACTGCTTTGTTCAC